CTAAATTTTGTTGTTGCCTTGTCGGCTTACATCTGCGGTTTTTATTTTTAAATGATCATTTAGGGCATTGGATTTGCTGGGTGGCTTAACAGTATCGTTTTGTTTAGGGAGGTGATAGTTGATCACCCGGAAGTTCAAGGGTGATTTGAGACCGTAGGGATGATTTATTGGGAGCAGGTGACGGCATTTATAAGACTCACGTTTTTTTTTCTGATAGAAACCTGTAGTTTCCTGCTGTTATGTGCATGGTTTTTGGGTTAGTAAAGTTGAAAGCAGGTGTAGAAGTAGGTACCGGTAACTGCTAGGTAGAGAACTGTTAGAGAAGGGGAGGGAAAAAAGACAGTGGTGAAACATTTCTTTTAGGGGCGGTCGGTGTGCGTAATATGTTTGAGAAACACTACTCAAGAAAAATTTGTAATTTTATATTTAAAAGTTAAAATTGAAGTTTGTTCGATCACAGCGAGGTGTATGTGGTGGCTAAGATTTCACGGGGTTTTAGCTGTTGTTGTTACATACCTGTTGTTGTTCTTTAGTTCTATCCGTCTTCTGGCTTCATGGCACAGGAAAGTGTCTTTAATCCAAGCATCCCACAAGTAGGTAAACACAGCGAACGACAACGGTATTAGGTCTATGATAATGAGCAGGAGAACTGCATAAGGTGGTAGAAGTGAGTCCATTAGTCTTGGTAGACATGGTTGCTGGAAAAAATTTCGCATAAAATCTTGGTCAGTAGTTGGGTAGACGTTCATTTCCAAGCAGCAAACAGATTCTTACTTGTAGGTGTAGTTTGACCAATTCCTCGTTATACTGGAACTTACAGGCGTACTGTGATTCGATGTGTTCTAGGAATTCTGGGTCTCTGCAATTTGTAAACTTGGTAAAATTTACAATGATAACATTAAGTTTTTTTAGTGTATAGTATAGGACGGATAGGCTGCAACAGTTTGCTGGCAGTTTTTGGGAATTTTTAGAGTTTGTGAACATTTGTGTTTGAAATCGGTTTGCTGTATCTGCCTTAATCACATTTTGAAGCTTTCGATTTGTTTGCTATTTACAGCTTAGTTTTTTTTAACGATCGCTTCTTTGCTGTCAGAATTGGGAAGAAATGCAAAAATGATTTTTTTTTTTGTTATATTCTTCAAAATTCAGGTAGGGGCAAAGGCATTGCTCAGAATAATTTGAGGAGGTTGGGGCATTGAAAACGAGATATTTTTTAGGGTTTTAGAATACTTGAATTGTATTTGGCGATGTTCTTAGATTTGTAACCAGTTATTTATTTTTTTTTTCAAAAACTGAAGCAGTGTTTGTTGTTTTAGACAACTACACCTTGGCTCTTTATAGATGAATAATTTTTTGGCAATTACTGGATAGTACATTGCGCTTGTCAATAGCGGTTTAATAAAGTACAGCAGTTGTGCAAACAGATAAAATAGTGATAGTATGATTATCGCCTGAAAAACAGGATACTTAGAATATGTTTTATGGAGCAAAGGTCAGAAATTGTTAAAGATGTATTTGGTTGCAATCGTTCATTTTTTTCAGCACACTTATTCATTTCTACTCAGAAAAAAGAATTTTTTTAGCTGAACTCAGATTACCAATCGTCAGAGCTATTTGAAGTGCGTGTTAAAGGTTAGCATACTTACTCGGTAGAACAGTTTAAAAATTTTGCCTTTGTAGTTCTTTGAGTTGAATACACAGGCTAGCGGAAGGACCAGTGCAAAGACAACAATGTTTAGAATAGCTAATTCCCATAAGGTAATGTACGACTGAAACGTTGAAGGAACATGTAGAAAAAATGACATTTTTTCATAACATTGACGATTTCAAAGCGACATTAGAAGACCTAGTTCTTGAACTACAAATACTGCTTTTTACGGTTGCGTTAAGTCAAGCTTTTTAGAACCTAGTGATCCCTGAATACGGTCAAACATTTCCAAGTAACCTAATAGACTTAAATTATATTTTGAATGTTAGGAACGTTTTAAAACTTTCAAGTTTTTGGCCCAAAATTTATGCTGATTATATTTTCAAGATAGGAAATACAAAACTGCTAATTTATGCTCTTTCATTTTTTTCTTTTTTGCCAAAAAAAAAAGAAGAACTTATCATATTCAATAATTGAATTTTTTATAATAAAAGTACAAGAATTTTATGGCG